TGCGCCCCCTGCTCTGGCCCCTCCGCCGATGTCGCCCTCCCACGAGTTCAGTCCCCCGATGTCCATTTCTATCAACCGCGAAGGGCGCGAGACCGGCCGGCTCATAAGCCCTGCCGAAGGGATAACCCGAAGCCATCGCGCAATTTCCAACCCATGATCTCACAGAAGGAAAATCCTGAGCCATGACCGAAACAACCACCGAAGCAGCCGACCTAACCCCCGCCGCGCGCCAGCCGGTAACTCGCATCCGCTTCGGGCGGCGCGGTCTCATCCTTGTTGCCATGGCAGTGATCGCCGCTGGCCTTTGGCTGAACTGGGGCTGGATGACCGCCATCGGCGCGGCCCCCCTGATCCTCGCCCTCGCGCCCTGCGCGGTCATGTGCGGACTTGGAATGTGCATGATGGGCGGCTCGAAATCTTGCGGCAGCAAGAGCAATCCGGCCGGAGGGTCGGAGATCAAGACGGACTAAACAGCAACTGAAAGGACACTACAATGAACCTCTCTTCAAAGCTCACCATTTCGGCGGTCGCACTGGCGGCTCTCTTGACGACCGCCGCGTTCGCGCAGGAGGCCGGTGACCAAGCGCCTGATCAGATGATGCAGGATCAGAACGCCATGCCAGGAAACATGATGAACGGCGACATGGACGGCATGCAGGACATGATGCCAATGATGCAGATGATGCAGAAAATGGGACCGATGATGGAGGCCTGCACGGAGATGATGGAGGCCATGACAAAGCAGATCGAGTCGCCTGCGACCGAACCGCAGGACGGCTAACCTTGAGCCCCGCCCAGGCCAATGCCTGGGCGGGGCTCGCCTACGAGCTGAAAAAAATGACCACAAAATCCATAGTCCATCATCTACGGCGTATCCGGCTGGTGCTTTGGGGCACCGTGGCCGCCGTCCTGCTTGTAACTGGCGGCGCACTGATGTTGCGCACGTATGTGCCTCCATCGACGCCTCAAGTCAGCTCCGTCGGTGAGACGGATATCCACTCGGAATTTTCGCTGACCGATCACAGCGGCCGCGCGGTGACCGAAGCTGACTTCGCGGGGCGATGGCAACTCGTCTTCTTCGGCTTCACTCACTGTCCGGACATCTGCCCCACAACGCTGGCTTATATGGCGAGCGTTTTCGATCTCCTCGGTCCTGAGGCAGAGCGCGTGGCACCGCTGTTTATCACCGTCGACCCGGCGCGCGACACCGTTCCGGTCATGGCTGAATATGTCTCTGCCTTCCATCCCCGCCTCGTTGGTTTGACTGGTACTGAGGCGCAGGTCGCCGAGGCGACACGTAACTTCCGCACCTGGTACGAGCGGATGGACGATGAGAATGCCCCGGACGGCTATATGATGGCGCATGCCGGACATATCTATCTGATGCGCCCGGATGGGCGGTTCGATGATGTCTTTCAGGAACAAGACCAGTCACCCGAGAATATGGCCGGTCAGGTCCTCGCACGAATCCAAGAAAGGCAGGACGAAAAATGAGGCTACTGATTATTTCTGCACTCACGGTCATGCTGCCGCTGGCTGCCCATGCCGAGGTCGTCGTGAGTGATCCATGGGCGCGCGCCAGCATTCTCGCCTCCCGCCCTGGAGCGGCGTACGTGACGGTGGAAAGCGACGAGGACGACCGGCTGATCGGTGCGTCAACACCCGTGGCCGACCAGATCATGATCCATGCCATCGAGACCGATGCTAGCGGGGTCGGACGAATGATACATCGCGAAACCCTCGATCTGCCCGCCGGAGAAGCGGTGACTTTCGCTCCAGGTGGCATGCACCTGATGCTGATAGGCCTTTCGGAGAAGCTCGTTGAGGGCACGACCTTTCCGCTCACGCTTCACTTCGAGGCCGCCGGCGAGGTCAACGTCGATGTTCCGGTTCTCGAAGTGGCCGCGAGCGGCCCGGATGGGAGCAGTAAATGAGGATGCTTCTCCTGCTTGCGCTTCTGAGCTTCACCACATCTAGCTTCGCCAATCACCCGGGCGAGCGGCTCGATGAAACAATGGCCGAAAAGGAGCCGGCCTTCGAATTCGCCGACCAACGCCTGCCTGCCATGGAGTTGATGACTGCCAATGGCGCCGAACTCGATCTGCGCGACCTGGCGGACAGCATCATCGTTCTGAGCTTCTTTCCCGATGAGTGCGGCAGCCCCTGCACCGAACAGCAGGCTCTTTTGGTCGAAGTCCAGAAATCCATTAACAACACGCCGATGCGCGAGATGGTCACCTTCTTGACCGTCACTTCGCGGGGAACTCCCGCTGTCGAAGGCTGGGAGGGCACAAATTGGCTGCGTGTGACGGCTGGAGGCGGAGATACTGTCACCGACGTGATCACCGAATTGGCCGAACTGTCGCGCCGCAACCAAGGCGCTCCAATGGTTCACATCATCGCCCGCGGGACCCGCCATGCCGCCATCTTCCACGGGGCGGATTTCGAGCGGATCAATATGATCCTTTACATAAACGGACTGACGAACGCTCACCCGCCCGAGCCAAGCATCCTCGACCGTATTCTTGAATGGTTGCCGTGACTGCCTCTGCTATCCTCTTCGTGCTGGGCTACACGATCTTCAGCGAATGGCTGAACACTCAAGTGCGCAAAGCCGGGGCACACAGCGATCTCCATCCCTTCCTCGGCGCAAGGCCCTGCCCCGTCCTGCAGTGGGGCGTGCAGCGGGCCGCGGCCTACGAGAGGGCCGCCAAGCTTCGGCCGCGGCAACGGGCGGCCGTGGAGACGTCCTATGGCTGACCTCTCGCTTGTTGGGCTGACCGCCGTGCTCCTCGCCGGAGCGATATCTTTCGTCTCGCCCTGCGTTTTGCCCCTCGTGCCAGGCTACGTGTCCTACATTGCCGGGGGGACAGTGACGGGGGCAGCGGAGCCCTCGCGCCGCCGTGTCGTCTTGCTCAGCCTCTGCTTTGTCCTCGGCTTTTCGACGATCTTCATGGCGCTCGGCGCCTCGGCTACCGCCCTCGGACAGGCGCTTCTGCGCTGGCGCTACGAGCTTAATATTGTCGGGGGCGCCATAGTGATCCTGTTCGGCATGTTCATGATCGGTGCGGCACGCTTTGCTGCGATGGAACGCGAGCTGCGCTTTCATATAGATATTCCGGGCGGCCGGCCGGTCGCGTCCTACGTGCTCGGGCTTGCTTTCGGTTTCGGCTGGACGCCCTGCATCGGCCCGATTCTCGGTGCGATTCTCACCGCCAGCGCCGCAAGAGCGACGGTAGGCCAAGGCGTTGCTCTTCTCGCCGTGTATTCGGTGGGCCTTGGTGTACCATTCTTGATCGTGGCCGGTTTCACGGACAAGATCGCAGGAAAACTGCGGAGCATCGGTCGCGTCGGCCGCCGCCTGCATCAGGCCGCGGGGGCAATAATGATCCTTATGGGTGTCGCCATGATGACCGGGCGGCTGAGCGCACTATCTTACTGGCTGCTAGACGCATTTCCGATTCTGGCGCGGATCGGATGAGCGGTTGCGATTCGATGGAACACATGCTCCCCCTCGGTTGACGCTCCTGGAAAAGCGCCAAAGAGCATTAACAACCTGGGAGGAACTGCGCCAAAAGGTCCGGTTCGCGTATTAAGTTTGGCGGCTACTTTCGGAGATATTTGACGAGGATGGCGATCGCGAGCACCAGTGCGACGAGCACGAGCAGCCAGGTCAAGCCCATACCCCACATCATTCCACCGTCCATCATTCCGCACTCCTAAAGCATATAGCCTATATCCGAGGCGCCGGTCGGATAGGCGAACATTGTCTGTTTGAGAGCCGTTGCCGTCAGATCGTGCCGGATCGCGAGAGCGAAAAGGTTGATAACTTCATCGGCATGCGGGCCAACTAGATGCGCGCCGAGCACGCGTTCGCTTCCTTCCTCGACCATCACTTTGAAGCCGTAGACCGGTTCCGCTGTCTGCCGGGCGGTAAACCAGTCCGAAGCCTTCTGTGACTTTGTCCTGAATTTAAGCCCCTGCTGCCGCGCTTCTTCCTCGCTCAGTCCGACAGCGGCGATCGGCGGGACCGAGAAGGCGACGCTCGGCACGCCGCGATAATCGGGCTTATGGCGGTTACCGTCGAGCAGATTGCCGACAACCACCTTCGCGTCATGGCTCGATACCGGCGTGAGCGGCGGTCCGACCTGGGCGGCGTCGCCCGCCGCATAGACCGCCGGGTTTGAGACGCTTTGCAGATATTCGTTGAGCTGCAGGCGGCTATCTTTTGCTGTCACGCCAGCGGCGTCGAGATTGAGACCGCCGATATTCGGGACGCGCCCGGCGGCATGGACGACCAGATCGGCCTCTATGGTCACGCTTTGCCCGCCAGACAAGGCGGTGACGCGGTATCCGGCCCCGGCCTTTTCAATCGCCGTGACTTCCGTGCCCGTGCGCACGTCAATCCCGACCGCTTCAAAACTCTCCATCAGCCAGCCGACCAGTTCCGGTTCGAAATGCGTGAGCATCCGGTTACCGCGTTGCAGCACCGTCACCTGCGCCCCGGCGCGCGCCGCGATGTGCGAGATTTCGGCCGCGATATAGCCGCCGCCGAC